CGCGCTGTCTTTAAACAACTCTCCTGTTATCTCCATCAGAACAACCTTCTGGATCCGCACCAGTCTGGTTTCAAGGCAGGTCACTCCACAGAAACTGCCCTCCTTGCTGTCACTGAGGAACTGCACACGGCTAAAGCAGCCTCCCTCTCCTCTGTCATCATCCTTCTGGACCTGTCTGCTGCATTCGACACGGTGAACCATCAGATCCTCCTTTGCACTCTCTAAGAACTTGGAGTTTCAGGCTCTGCACTTTCCCTCCTCACCTCCTACCTCAAAGACCGCACCTACAGGGTAACTCGGAGAGGGTCCGAGTCCGACCCCTGTCAATTAACTACAGGGGTCCCTCAGGGCTCTGTTCTTGGTCCCCTCCTCTTTTCTTTGTACACAAACTCGCTTGGATCACTCATTAGTCCGCATGGTTTTTCATACCACTGCTACGCTGACGACACCCAATTAATTCTGTTAACCCAAGTTCCCGTCATTAACAACACGTCGGTTTGCTATCCTAGCTCCAAAATGGTAGAATGAGCTCCCAGGACATCAGGACAGCAGATAGCTTACACATCCTCCGGCGCAGACTGAAAACTCATCTCTTTTGACTCCACTTCGAGCAATACAATTACTAACAAAGCACTTGAGTAGCACTTTAAATGTTTTGGCTATATATATATATATATATATATATATATATATATATATATATATATTTGCCTCCGTGATGAAATGCCATATCATGTTCCAAACCACATCAAGGATTATTTCTGAAACAGTATGGAGCTCAAATGCTTTTTCTCTTGCGGGTGGACAAGGTGAGTTCCTTTTTCCTGCTTCTTCACACATACTCTCTCCAGTACGGGTTAGCTCTGAGTGTTAGCGATGCTAATGTAAACATCGACCATATTACGTCCAAAACACGTCGGGCATTGTTTCTGATGGCAACGTTTCTGATAGTACCGTTGGTCCACATTTCTGATATCAAGTCATATCGGACGCAAATCTGGATCAGCTCCGTTGTAGCCCCGTTTTTAGAGATTTGAGTACGGAGGAAAAGAGAGGGGGTTTTGTTTTCTGTAACTTTTAACTTTCCCCTGACACACCGGGGACACATAGTTATGTATAAAAGACATCAAAAAAAGTGCATTTTGCACGATAGGTCCCCTTTAATTGACATCTAACCTGTGAGGGAACTCCAGCTAACTCCCCGGTGTTCATGAGCTCGTCCACCTGATCCAGGACAGCCACCGGGTTACATCCTGACAGAAAGCCCTGGAAACAGCAGAAACACAGTCAGGTCAGAACTCAAATGTAATTAGGGCCTAAAATGAAACAGATCTTCTCACATGTATTGACAGGGATGCACTCACTTGGATCTGCTGAGCCTTTTTGTTGGCAGAGGGGACGAGAAGGAGAGCTCCGAGAGCAAAGGCCGGCAGATTGAACTGTGCGAAGCGATTGGCAATTCCTATCAGATCCAGATTCAGCAGGAAAGGGCACCTTGGGAAGATGAGACCGTGAAATAAACATGAAGAGAAATTGACACATTATTCAGGTCAACGGGTCCTTTTTTCCTTTCAAATTAATTGAGTCATTCGTTAACTCAAACGTGAGAATCAAAATATGCTTTCAGAGATATGATGTCATATACAAAACACACATCCCCTTTTTGTGAGTGAGGTGTGAAAACTAAATTAGTGTTTGCCACGGATAGTAAATATAAGGGTAATCTTTGGTAAAATATTCAATCAAGAACTAAGCTGAATCTAAGCTTTCTAAAAACAACATATGTTTTGAAAAACCCTATAAAAACCAATTCAAAATAGAACAAGCCAATATGAAATCGGAAAATAATTGCTCTAATGTATAGTGGCACTAAATAAACCACTTAAAACGCTTCAGCTGTAACTGGTATATTTCACTTTTTAAAACTTTTGGCACACAAACCTGCTTTAAAATGCAGTCTACTCAGATCGTTTAAAGAAAATAATCACAAGAGATAAATCTATCAGTGCATGTACTGAATTCTCCTATTTTTCTGTGACTAGTGGTCCAGGACTGTATTATAATGTCCTATCCAATGTTGATTTGAGTGAAGCGTACTTGAGGAGGAGAACGAACGTCCTGTAGAGCGTCGCCTGTTGATCCGGAGTCAGAGGAAGAGAAGCTGTCAGCAAGAAAACAGATGAGACTGTGAGGATCATTGAAGAGGCTTTCTGACCAGAGCAAGGGGTAGGAGAACAATCTGGCGTCTGTGGATGTTGCAGGCCGGTAAAAAGACCGTTTGATCCAGGGATGTCAAAACTTTTTCCCCTGAGGGCCACATACAGAAGAACATACAAAGGGCTGGGCCAGACGTGAGGTATACTGCCTCATAGGTTAAATTCTAATTCAGCAAAATCAATCAAATGTAGGTCAATTATGCTTTCTACTTGAATATGATTTAAGGAACATCACAGCTCTCCAGAGGGTTTCAGTTATCCTGTTGCAGCTCATCCCTTAAAACAGGAGCCTCAGATTGGTTATAATAAGGGGAAATATGAAGGGTCTATTTAAAGCTTGTAATGGAAATAAAAGACAGATTTGTTAGAACATGTTCTCAGCTCTAATTGACTAAATGTCTTTGAATAGTGGGCTTATTAACACATGAAAACTGCTCTGTAATATAGTCTCACATATATATTTAAGAAGTACAATATAAGACAAGCACGAGTTTCAAGTAGGGGCCATATATCATTTTACTTTAAGAATTTGCTGAGGGCCAATTAGAAATGGACAACGGGCCGCATTTGGCTCCCGGACAGTAGGTTGGACACCCTTGGTTTGATCATTTCCTTAGTGCATGAAATGATTGGATGGCCTACGTGCCCGTTTACCTCTTATTTCCCCGATTCTCTCCCGCGAAAAAAGGGCTGGGATTTTTTAGTTGGATAACTTTGAAAAGTAGCTTACGGGTCCTGGTTTCTCCAAAGTTGCCATACCCTGATTTAATGAAATTGAATTCACTGTTATAAACGTCGTACCTGAGACAAATGGTGCCAGTATCATACTCCTCCATGTCCTGGAGAAACTGGAAATCTGGGGACAAAGTAGAGTAAAAAAATGTAGCCTTGCAAACATTTCTCAGTCATCACTTGTATTATTATAGCAGTAATGGTTCAAGACATTTTTTTTATTCTGGTAATCACTAAGTTAAATCACAATTTAAATGCAACGTTTATTGTTTGATTCTATTCACAAAACCGTTGCTGCGTTTCATATCTAGTCGTCTCTCTGCCCATATTCCCCATCTATTTCTCCACTATAACCATTACATAACTGCAACTATCCAACTCTCTGAGGCTCTGGTTGCGTAGTGAATTTCAAAAATATTTTAGTTCTGCTTTTTTTGTAACACATTGCAACCACATTTAACTTTACTGAAAATGTAAATTTCTGAAGAAAATTGGAAATACCGACGTTATTTGCATTTCTTAAAATAAGTGCTGAAGTTTGCAGTTACCTCCCATAGAGCCGGCACAGCCACTAACGCCTCGAGCACCGTCTGGAGGTGGCTGATCTGAGGGGGAAAACAAACACAAAGGTTTTATTTACACCAAGCTTTCTTTATGTAATGTCAAACTCAACTATTTGACAAAGACAGAAGGAAAACTAAAAGACAGAAATCATGTATGTGTGGGACACTGCATTCACTACAATTTTAATTTCAAATAAGAACTGATAAAAACACAAGATAAGATTTACTTTATTGATCCCAAATTTGGACATGTTTTCATCTCAGCCGTTAAAACAAGGCATTGGACATAATGTGAAATAAAAAGAGTAGGAAACATCTCAAAATAGAAAATGAAACTGAACTAAAAAGTGAAATATAAGCATGTTGACCGTGAAAGATAAAACTCTGTAGACTATCTGTCAAATAAAAACTATGAAGGGTCAAATTACAGCTAACAAATGTTATAGTGGGATATTATTTACATTAAAAGGTCTATTATACTGTTTTTCATCAATATATTAGAGGTCTCAGATATATACAAAACATGTCTCTGAAGTGTTTGTCTCCAAACACCAAACAGATCATGGCAGCATTACCCATAATCCCCTCTGTTTCAGCCCTGTTTCTAAAGTGCTGATTCTCTGTTACCTGTTACTTTAGATGAAAATAAGGAGCCCCTCCCCACGCCCCTCAGAGAGATTTGGTTAAAAAGAACACAATGGTGCTCTAGGACAGTGGTCCAAACCTGGGGGGCGCCAAAGATCGCAGGGGGGGCGCCAGGCCTCAGATGATTTTAGGCCTAATATCATAATACATTTTTTTTTTACATATCATTTTCTTTTTTACATATAATTTGTTTTACATATAATTGTAACGCAATACATGATTGTCACTAAAAGCCTTGTCTCTTCATTACAGTAAAATATAGAAATTAAGTGATTAATTAATTTTAATACAAATTCTACAAATTAATCTGATACTCCTCCGATTCGCGCCGAAGCTGACGTTACTGTGTCAGCTTCCGTAATGATAACAGTTTGCTGTGCTTGCTAGCGACCGACTTCATAAAGGTGAATATTTTGTCTAAAAATATCTGAAAAACGTAAAGGAGATGACAGCTCATCTGCAAACAAAAAGAAAATGAGGACCTACCAAGAGAGCTATCTTAACTTCGGTTTCATGGAGGGAACGGACAAAACCCGCCCAGTGTGTTTGATATGCAGAGAGAATGCTAGCCAACTACAGCATGAAACCCAGCAAAATGAAAAGACACCAACAGACCATGCACCCAGAAACGGTAGGGCGTGATCGGGACTTTTTCATAAAGAAACAACAGCTTGATGGAGCCAATGGATATCAGAACAGCGTTTGTTAGGGCTGGCAGCGATGTGGCCACGACGCCTCTTTTGAATGTGCACTTTTAATAGCAAAGGCAAAGAAACCGCACAACATTGGCGAGCAGCTCATTAAGCCCAGCTTGCATTAAAATGGTTGAGAAACTGTGCGGCCCGCAGGTGGGGGAGAAGCTAAAAACTGTACCGCTGTCAAACAATACGGTGAAAGACAGAATTGACAAGATGGCAAGTAACTGCGAGCTGCAGCTGCTCGAAAAGCTTGGAAAGGGGCCATTTGCCATACAACCTGATTAAACCACAACTGTAGCAGACGAGGCTGTGATGATCGTTTATGTGCAATATATCGATGGGGAAGATTTGAAGCAGGACATTCTTATGTCAGTCAACCTTACCACTACCACCCGGGGTGAGGACATTTTTACTGCAGTGGATTCTTACCTCTCATCCCACAAGCTTTCCTATGAGAATGTAGTTGCATGTTGTACAGACAGAGCTGCCTCAATGATGGGGAAAAACAAGGGATTTAACAGTCGCTTGAAAGAAAAGGCCCCACACTGCACAATATTTCACTGTGTGATACATCGCCAGGCCCTGGCCAGCAAGAAACTGTCAGAAGACCTCAGCGAAACACTCTCAACTGTTGTTAAAATAGTCAATTTCATCTAAGGTCGCCCCACCAACAAGCGTCTATTCGCAGACTTGTGCGAGGATGAAGCGCACCAAACCCTCCTCCTGCACACCGAGGTGCGCTGGCTCTCACGCGGCCGAGTGCTGGCACGCTTTGTAGAACTGAAGGAAAAATTGAAGAGTTTCTACAAACTCGTAACCGCGCACTGTCAGAGCAAGTGACTGAGTCATTCTGGATTAAAACAGCATACCTGGCCGACATCTTCAGTCTCTACAATGAAACGAACAAACGTCTGCAAGGCGTGGAGTCCAACATAATCCAATGTAAAGAGGCGCTCGATGCATTTGTGCACAAACTGGAGTTCAGGGTCGGG